ACAATACTTAGAAACACATTAGAGTAATGTGATCACTTTATTTTCAGTGAGAACATCACTGTTGGAAATTGAGTGTTTACTCTAAAGTAACTGATGCCAGTGAAGCTCTGATAGCTTTGATGTTTGAGGGTCACAAGTCTTTAACCGGGGGATTGATGAAAGGTTGGTATCATCTTTCCCTCCCTGTGTTCTTTGGATAGGCTAGTTGGTAAACACTGCTGCATTGTGGACTGTCGTGTCGCTCAATATTTTCCACATAGTACGTTCGCAACCTAAAATACAGTTTTCTTCACACTGGATGACGATGTGTTTGTTTGACAAAGTCACAAAATATAGTTTTTTACATTGCAAATTTATTAGGTGCCCACTCAGTGGTGAGTCAGTAATGAGGGGAGTTCCCATACCATAGAAAATACAAGGGGCATTCAGGTATCATCATTAATTTAAAAATCTTAACACCGGTACACTTTAAAACACTGTCATAAGGAGGTGTCAGTCTTGTTGAGCAGCAGCTGCTGCAGCAGGACTAGATGGTGTAGGAAAAAGAAGATCAGGCAGCTAATGAATAATTGAAATCTTCTTCCCTCCTACTTCTTTTCTTCCCAATTAAAATGCTCCTGTGTCAGAATAAGATACTACAGATGAGGTACAATTTGTAGGTTTTACCCTTTACCTCTTACACTTTGCCCATTGAATCTGATAACACAAGGAGTGAAAAAGAACCTTGTTTTGTGAGATCAACACCAAAGGCAATTAGCTTCCAAATGTGTTGAATAACATTGAATTGTTGGATCTTACAGTCCACCATTAGCATGTCTCTAAAAAATACTGTAGGGCAGTATTTCCTAACCTTTTCTAAGCCACAGCACGTAATTTACATTTGAAAAATCCCATGGTGCACCAACCAACAAACAAAAATGTCCCAAACGTAAATGTAATGAAATATAATGATAATAAAATGATTGAATTGTAGTGATAATGACAATGATTTCAATTTTTTAATTACTTCAATTTATCCACAATTTACTTACTCAGTATTAAACCATGGCCTGTTTAGTTCAATGCAACCCTGTACTGGCAGGAATTGAAGAAAGAAAAGCACAAAATTTTCTTTAACATTGCTGAGTCTCTCTCATTTTTAGTTTTATAGTATCTGCTGTCACTTGGTGGAAGAGTACTTTTTTTTGTCTGTCACTGTCACATTGACGACTGAAGACATACTATTTGCAGTAAAAAAAAACAACAATATTTTGCAGACCATATACGTGAAATTGGAATATTTTCCACAGCACACCTGGATGGCCATTTGTTGGTAAAAACACTTAGTGAATTTAATGTTAGTTTCTCTTTGGATTATTTCTCTGTCCTGGGAGGAAGGATGCTAGGCCCTGTCATATGAGCCGTGTCCAGCCTGATAGCGTGTACACCTCCACAAATGGCCAACATCAGAACAGTGATCAAATAAAACATCTATAAAGTTGAATTCTCTCAGAGGCTCCTTAAATCACTGGTTTTATGAAACACGTACACCCCCCCCCCCCCCCCTTACTCTCCGTCTCTTTCTCTAGTGCACACGTTGTTCACAGTTGCTTCCCCTAAACTGAACCTCTGTAACACTACACCATTTGATGCTTTTAAAGTCAAAACTTGTACTAAAACTAGCACATTTTTCATTCCATTACTGCCCATCTGCAGGATCTAATTTCTACTAGTTAACATTTTTTCATGCCTTTAAAAGTGAAAATAAAAGGGCACCACCTCTATATTATACGTATATTATAATGGACACATATGGACACACATATATTTTATATAACTGGAGTACATAATACTCAGTTGTGGACATGGCCTTCATCTTTGTGAGTGTACACCTACTGAAATAATTCACTGTGTCATTGTTAGTTTTAATCTTTAACCCTTTCATCACAGTGAGACTAAAGTGACTTATTGTGCTGAACTAACACAACACACCTCTTGAGCTGCTCTGTTTGCTTTGTTACTTTGTTTCATTAGGGCCTCTGTTAATCCCTCCAACAGACGTGTGTTGACTGACTGTCCTTCAGGGCCTTTAGTGGAGGACAGCGTCATATTCATCAGCTCTAAACACTCAAGCCAAATGAAATTGCGCAGCTGCAGCAATAATTCCAACATTTTCAATAAATGAGCCTTGTTTTTTTGGCTGAAGTGCCACTTTAAAGAGGAGACTGATTAGACGGAGAGGATGCAGTCGTGTGGCAGCCAGACTCTGGGATGACACATCCATTTAGAAGAAGGAGGGAGTTTATTGCACAAGGGGAGAGGAGAGAGGAGAGCAGTGAAAGTGAGGGAAGGGGGAGTGAAAAGCTAAGGTTGAGTTTGGACTGCATGGATTACATGGAGCTGCTGTGGTCCATATGAAACAATGCTGTGTGATGATGACAGGATGACGACACTTAGTGAAATCAAAGGATGATTGGAGGCTGCGTCTGATTCAAAGTCTTTGTAATGAAAGACTAAGACCAGCAGACTTTCTGTCTCAAGGCAGTCTGTTTCTAAAGGAAGCACCATCCACCTGAAACACCAGGGAACAGAAATGACCCATTTTGATTAATCCTGTTATTAATATGGGTTGTGTAATGACTTGTGCTTCAACAGGCATTGTGTAACTGGGCTCTTTCTTGTGTGTAATTAGTTCTTTATACACCTTGAAGATTTTCGATATCCCCCTACACTCAGTTAACATTCACTCTGCAGGCAAATTAGATTTTCCTAAATTTAGATCAGACTGTCTGCGCTGTTAATCACAAGTGATTGAATCCGATTTCTGCATCAGGTATTAGCGACCTATCTACATGATTTACATCAGTAATTACATAGACTTAAATTTAAATTTATAAGACTAATCAGTGTCTATTGAATTTTCAATAATTCATTTGGTGTCAACCAATTACATTTGTAGCCAAACACCAATAAGTTTGCAGTGGGTTTTCTTGTCTCTCTTCTTCTGTGCTGCATGTCTCTCCCCTCCCCCACCCCTGTCCCTCTCTGTTTACATCAGCTGCTGCATACCCATCAAAGACCAATAAAAAGTGTACCTTGGCTTTGGAGGAACAGAGTACTGTGGTGAAATAAGAGAGATTAAAGAAAAAAAAAGTTACAAAATGGAAGCAATATGAAAAACTGCAGGATCCAAAAAATACAATTTAGATTAAACCAAAACCGAGGTACCCGAGATACAACAGGGGCAACAGTTTATTCAGGTCACAGTGAGGTCAGGTCATGTCTGAACATGTAATAAAGGGGTTGTAAACAAAGGCTCATATATATATATATATATATATATATAAAAGAATTGTAACGCTTTAACAAAACTGAACAATCTGCAGTCATGCAGAAATTATTTTTGCTCAAGAGTAAAAAATCAACTTGTCCTTTGTTAGACTTCCTACCGTCTCAGATTTTGCATATCCTAACACAGGGTTCTTTGTGGTTCCAAATGTTCGGAATGACGTCAGCACTGTGGAGCACAGATGATAGTTGGTAGATGTTGAATAATTATGAATCTACAGTCAGCAAAAGCTTCTGTGTGTGTGTGTGTGTGTGTGGCTGCCATATCAGCATGGTGGCACAGCAGTGCTGATGTAAGTGGGTTTAAATACAGACGGTCCCTGTGCCTGTGTGGGTGAACATTTTGATTAAAATGCAGATTAGGCCAAGATCCAATTTTTGTGCTCCAATTTAAAATCTGGTTTAGAGTGCATTCAAAACCAGCAACGGCCACCTCGAAATTAAATTCATGTAGCTTTGATAGATGTGGATGAAAACTCATCAGGGGGCAGTAGTATAGATGAGGACGCATCAAATCTATTATATATAGATATAGAATTGTCTGTAATGAGTGTAAGTGATCAATATTATTGATAAGGCCGTTAAAGTTTGATGAAGACCTACACTGTTGCCATTTAGTAAACTTTATGTTCTTTTTATGTGAATTAAATGGATCTTGATCTAAAATTTAAAAAAGAAAAAAATCCTGCAGTTGTTAAATGCGAAGGTTATGTTGGATGTTAGTGAATGCTCTCAGTGGGACAGAAAAAAGAAAGGACAATTAATTTCATTGAGTCTAGAACACAGAAAGACGTTACGCAGTGAACATGCTGAGGCAGACGAACACTCTGGATCTGGATCTGCTGGAAATGTATTCCTGTAAAAAAAAATCACACTGTTGCCAAAATGCTGCAGTGTTTGATTTAATTTTTCAATAATATTTGTAAAACTTATCCCGTTTTACTTAAAATAATAATAATAACTGTATATTGTAATTGTTTTCCTATGTATGTATTTTTGCTAAAGAGATTAGCGAAGAAGAGATGGGACAGTGACAGAACAGAAGAGAACAGACTGTAGTACAAAGAGAGGACAAGGGAGGTGAAGAGGGAAGTGGCCAAGGCCAAACAAAAGGCATATGAGGAGTTGTATGAGAGTTTGGACACAAAGGAAGGAGAAAAGGAGTTGTATAGATTGGTGAGACAGAGAAACCAAGCTGGGAAGGATGTGCAGCAGGTGAGGTTGATTAAGGACAGAGAGGGGAATGTGATCACAAGTGAGAAAAGTGTGCTGAGAAGATGGAAGGAATACTTTGAGGAGTTGTTGAATGAGGAAAATGAAAGGGAAAGTAGAAACGAGGAACCAGAGACTAGTAGGAAGAAGGTAGATCAGGTTAGAAAGGATGAAGTTAGAAAAGCCCTGAAGAGGATGAAGAGTGGAAAGTCAGTTGGTCCTGATGACATACCAGTGGAAGTATGGAAGTG